AAGAGCAGTGTGGCGGACTCTTATCTGCTCCAAAACTGTCACAGAAGTAATGCCTAACAGCCTGTGGAGTGTGGACTGCAAGGAATAATATTTGGCGGATATTTGGCGGATGAAATAGGTAAAAGGGTAGTACTAGTAACAATACCCATACAAACTCTTAGGCTGAAAAAGAATCCTGTCATCTAATAAGATATTACAAATACCTACTACGTTAGATGATTTGAAATATAAACCTTGTCATCAAAACAAAACAATAACGAATTAAAATGTTCTTAAAGCAATATGCGTCTTAGTTTTTCCGAGTATTAGATTAGATAAATTGCTTTGGACATGCATTAATTGGTTTTACGAAACGCTTAAAACAATTACCTGCATGAAACAAACAAGTTTAGATATTGCTTCTCCGAAAATTATAAACAAATAATATTTGACGAGTTTCGTGTAGAGAATAAAAAACAAGGTGTGCAGCAAGTTGATTACGCTAAGTAGTCCCGATTGATTTGTAATGCTTGTCTCGATTAAGATGCATGAGTATACTTTTGTTTAAGAAAGTGATAAATACTTAGTACCAAACATCATAAAGCGATAAGTTTTTAAACTCGCGTTAGTAATGGCTCCAGTACACGTTGCCCGAGCGCGCTCGCTGAGTGCGTTCGGCCAACGTGTACTGGGCCGTTTTGTGTGTATTTGGCGTTTGCGGCCAACACTCGCCCACAAGCCGTATAGTGTCGGTTTTCCGTGCACAAATCAAAGAAATTTGGCGCAAGCCGTAAACAGCGATCACACGTTGGCCGAGTGTTCAGTTCATAGTTACGCGTCGGAGTAGACTGTAGTGTCGGCTTAATAAAATTGTTTCAACATGGCGACATGAACGAATGAGGAAATATTAATTTATTTATTTAACAGTTTATGTACACACATAATTCGATAGGAAAATGGTAAAAACATAATTATGTCAAAGGCACTGCCTATTCCATGATGAAATTTCTTCCAGCAGGATCCTATTGATATCCTATTCCTATTGAAGGATAGTTGAAGGAAATAGAGGTATTCAAAGTGTGCACTTACATAAATATATACATATACATACACACACACACACACATACACACACTACTCATATATATATATATATATATATATATATATATATATATATATATATATATATATATATATATATACGCATGTATAGATATAAATAAATATAATATATTATGAAAAAATATATAATTCAATATAATATATTTTTAATGTTACTTATATGCATACCAACACATTGCGATTTAATAATTATGGAGTGAAATATTGATTCATTGTTCATTGATTGATTCTCACAATGAATCAGTTATATGGAACCCCAAACATGAGCAACATAAAAATAAAACCAGAGTAAGTAACTTGCCTAACTGCATTAAATAATACATGTTTAGTTGCGATTTCAGAGTACCTACCTAATCTATACATATAATAAAACTGTAAATAGCAGATGTCTGTACATTTTATATTTTTGTAATAAAAGTGATTGAGGGGTACTAAAAATAAATAATTAAATACATTTCTACCATTTTTAGAATTTTCTGTCTGTCTGTCTGTCTGTCTGTCTGTTTGTTTGTTAACGTATCACGTTTAAAGTACTAATTTATATCATAAGAATTGTTAAGGAAATTATAAAGTGTATCTTCGGGTTACATTTAGTCTTTATTTCATTAAAATCGGTTCATTCCATCAAAAGTTATGATAAATATTCTAAAGTATGGGTAGGGAATTTGCTCAACGGTGGCTTTGTTTGAGTCATCAAGTTGATGTTAGCAGCGCCATCTCTCTTCAATTAAATATATACATATAATAAAAATGATGATAACATGTTGTGTCTCTTTCTGTACATTGTATATTTATTTTGGTGACTAAAATCATTATGGGGAACTAAAAATAATTAAATAAGTACATTTTTATAATTTTTAGAATTGTCTGTCTGTCTGTTAGTCTGTTTTTATATGAATGCATCACGTCTAAAGTAAACATCTTTTTTTTCAAAGAAATCGCTAAGAAAATCATAAAGCGTATCTTCAAGTTACATTTAATCTTTGTTTTATTAAAATTGGTTAATTCTATCGAAAGTAATGATTATTATTTTAAAATGTAGGTTCGAATTTGTTCAATGGCGCCATAAAAATCTCAGAAATAGTAATAAAAAGATTTGTGTGTAAAAAAACGTTCCATAATAATTAATATATTTATACTTAAAACATAAAAAGAGATTTAAAAAAGGATGTTTTCTCCCACAAAGGACGTAATAGATGGAGTTGTACAAATTACAAACTTTTCTGATTTGCTGTGTTGAGATTTTTCGCCGATGAATCGTATTGAGACTTACTGAAGAAATTTGTATCTATCGAAGCCATACAACGGAACCCGAACAAAAATAACAAAATTGCTGCGAAATGTCGTGATATTGTATTTATAATATACGCAAAATCAGTACTGCCATTTTAGCGCTTTGGGAACTAGATTTAGCGCTTTTTGGTGTATTTAGCACACATTTCAAAATTGTAGTGACTAGCGGGTTATTAACTCTTTTATAGCAGCACTGTTAGTCCACATTACCGATAATAATAATAATGACCTTTATTATTTTTTTCCACAAATAGTACATTGCAGTTTATCTTTTTCAAACATATTTTTTCCACAAAACAAAGAACATGGGAGACGAGTCCAAACTAGGATACCCTGTGCTATGGATCTCCCGGCTTCCCCTTTAGGATGATCAACTTGATTTTTTTTATCGACGACTATAAGGGGGGAAGTTTTCGTTCATGGTTTTGGCAACGCATTTATTTTGCTTTATTCAGTTTTAGTCAGTTGTTTAGAGCACAGCTAAGTTAAAAGTTACTTAGAGTAGTACTAACTACTGTTGACAGCAATTGCCATCATTATAAGTCGATGTCCTGCGAAGTATTGATACATCAAAAAATATTGCCAGAAAAAAACTTAATTTTGTTTTCTTTATTATGATTATATTTTCTTGAATTATAAATTATAATAAAAAACACAAACTTTGTTTGTAGTTAATTTAGCGCGAAATCTAGGGCTTTTTTAAAGCGCTGTTTTCATGAAATCTAGCGCTTTTTGTGTTGTCCTAGCGCTGAATGAGTTTTTTTGATCTGGCAGCACTGCCAAAAAACCCTCTATTAAGAAGTAACTTTCCTTTCAGTTTTAAGCGCGTTCAGTTCCCAGTTACAGTCAGCGTGTGTTATGCGATGACCGTAAATAAAGTGCAAGGTCAAAATTTACGCGTTGTAAGAGTGGACCTCAGTACTGACTGTTTTGCACATGGCCAACTCTATGTTGCTTTTTCCCGCGTTAGTAGCCCCCGTAACCTTTTTGTGTACACCCCGTCTGTCTACTTCTAACGTCGTTTACACCGAAGCTCTATCATAAACTACTTAGAACTTTGATGATAATGATTTATTTGTTACCACTTATTGATACAGTAGTGATATCAATCGTTTAATATTCTCTTACCTAAACGACAAATTCTTTATGTAAAATCTATATACGCGAGCTACGCCGCGGGCACAGCTAGTGATAAATATTATTATAAATTATCTCTGCGTTTATGTTGCTCAGGGATAATGCAGCTTAGGGGCAGGGGTGTCACTTCCACTATGGAAGGTATGGAGCACTCCATACCTCAAGTTTTTCAAGGTATGGAATTCCATAGCTGAAATTAGGAAATAAATCGCATATTACTACAAACCCCATATAAATAAATCGCAAGCCCTTAAACCTCAATACCCCACATCTTATAGTTCAATAAATAAGTTGAGTATATACACTGCAAACTCTTAAACCTTAATACCCCACGAGTAATGCGAACAAATTTGAAAATCGCGCCACCATTTTCCATACCTCAGATTTTTACAAAGTGACACGCCTGCTTAGGGGCTTCTTTTGCGCTCTTTTATTTTGAAAAAACCCCCAGCGAAGCGGACACGGGTCAACTAGTAGATCCTATAAAGGTTTCTTTTTTCCTTTTGAGGTCGGAACCCTAAAAAGGACAAACTGGGATTATTGTTGTATGTGTAGTTTTTTTTTCGTTCACTCTGAGAAGAGTGAAGCGCTGTATAAGTATATGACAGCGGCCGCGATTACCCTAACATCCATCATCATCTAGCTACCAACGCAGAATGAAACACGCCAACGTGTGAACGGCACCACGAAAATCTGCCGAGCGCGCTCGCCAAGCGCGTTCGGCCAACGTGTACTGGGACCATCAGAATAAAACAAATTTTTCGTGAAAAAAATACCGCGAGTATTTTAGTAGTAGAAAAGCTGGTGCTTCTCATGTCGTCCCGTGTAAATATTGATCAAGATCTGACCAGTAGTTTATGAGTTATCTATAATAATGCGTATTTAATTTAACTGATTACTACATTGATGATTTTCTCATTTTGTTTAAATCGAAGTCGGTTGTACAAAATTTTTAATTTTACCACTTGTCTTAAGAAAAGTCTAAAATTTTACGACCATTTAAAATAGTAATGGTCTTCAAAAACAAAATCCCGTACAATATTTAATCTGAACTTTATCATTCAACTATTTAACACAATAACTATATCTGTATGTTGCTGATAACAGCTCAACCGTTTATTCATATAGGAAAACGGATGTTAGCTAAATGCGGGTTAACTCATTGCGGTTTACCGAAATTATTTTCTTATATGGTTTCCAGTGACGTATGCACTACCGTCACTGGAAACCGTATTATTACGTTCGTTATCATAAAATTGAAAGACAGAGTCCGGAAATCGGAATTAAGGAACAACACAGAAGTAGTAGATGTTGTGACAGGACATTTGGCACGCATTCAAGGCTAATTAATGATATAATATATAAGTACAATTTAGCCTTGTGCTGCTTATGTGCTTATAATATACTAATGTACATTAAACAATACAAATTCAAGACATTTTTTTTCAATGTTTAATTACATTTAATTATAACATATATGTGCCCTTTTGTTCGATAACTTGTTGCCATCTTGTAGGTGGTGACATAATCCCGATGCTGTAGAAACCTTGGGATTTTTGATCAAAAAAATGCGACAAGTAGTTTTGACAGTCCTCTCTTGATGTTAACCTAGCACTACCCAAATAATTCGGAAGATACCGAAACAGGTGAAAATCTGAGGGTGCAAGTTCAGGACTATATGGTGGATGCATTAACACTTCCCCATCAAGCTCTCTCAATTTTTGCTGAGTGGCCAAAGATGTGTGTGGTCTAGCGTTATCATGATGAAAAACCACTCCTTTTCTGTTGATCGATTCCAACCGTATTTTTTTTTCAATTTCTTGCTTAAGTCTCATTAGTTGTTGGCAGTAGAGATCCGAGTCGATGGTTTTACCCGACGGTAAAAGCTCATAATAAACGATGCCCTTCCAATCCCACCATACACACAGCATCACCTTATTGCGTGTTAGTCTGGGTTTGCTACAGTCTGTAGAGCTTGACTACCCTTTGATCAAGATCTTTTTCGCACGTTCTTGTCATAGGTGATCCACCTTTCATCACCAGTGATCAATCTTTAATAAATGGTTCGGTTTCATTACGATCCAATAGAGAATCGCAAATTAGAACACGATTTATTAGGTTTCTTTCAGTGAGCTCATGTGGTACCCAACTTTTTGTATGGCCAGACTTTTTCAAATGGGTCAAAACTGTTTTGTGGTCAATCCTCAATTCCTCGGCTATGTTATAACTACTTATATCAGCATATAACATAAGATAGGCGATCATGCTCCACTTTTTCAAAAATGGCATCGACTTTATCCGGCGACCAGAGCGAACTGCATCTTTGACATCAAAATTCCCGGACTGAAAACGCTTGAACCAACTTTGTGCTACTCTTACTGACACTGCATTAGGTCCATAAACGACATAAAATTTTTTCGCGGCTTGAGTCGCATTTTTCCCTTTTTTGTAATAAAACTTTAGAATATATCGAATTTCTTCGTTAGATCCACTCATTTTGGCGGACAGAAAAACAATTGAAAAATGGCGCGAGAAAGTGTTTTTATTTACTTTTTATTTTTCTTTTTCTTAACGTTCTATATGTATTGATATTAAAATCAGCCAGATACAAACAGTACAACCAACGAGATTCTTCTTTAATTTTTACAAAAAAAATACGAAGAAACTTTTTGCCCGAACTATTATTATTCATCATCATAATCATCATCATTACAGCCCTTCATAAGTCCACTGCTGAACATAGGCCTCCCCCAAGGAATGCCACAAAGCACGGTCCTGAGCCACCTGCATCTATCGAATTCCTGCATGTCTTACCAGTTCATCACTCCATCTAGTGGGGGATCGCCCTACACTTCGCCTACCGGTACGATTCTGCCACTCGAGAGCCTTTCTTCCCCATCGGTTGTCGGTTCTTCGAGCTATATGGCCAGTCCATTGCCACTTCAGCTTATTAATCCGTTGGGCTATGTCGGTTACTCTGGTTCTACTGCGGATATCCTCATTTCTAAGTTTATCACGCAGAGAAACCCCGAGCATAGCCGTCTCCATAGCTCGCTGAGCGATCTTGAGCTTCCTAATACGGCCAGCATTATTATTACCTACTTAAAATGTTAATGGATTTTGTATGAGTGTAATTATAGATGAAATAATATGGATCATATATGAATAAATCAAATCTAATGGGCCAAAAATAAGTTTCATTTTTTTCATCAAACTAAATCATAAAACGTAATTTATGTTCCACTTTATCATAAAACCGACTCACTTACTCGTAATATATAATGTGAACGCTTCAGATTTTTAACGCGTAGAAAACCGAATCATATCGTTAATAGTGAGAACTTATATCTAGTGTTTAGGTATTAAAATAGTCCAACATTTTTGCGCATATCACAGATAATTATTATCGACCCAATATTAATATGTAATCTACAGAGTAAATAAAAGAGTACATGATAGAACGAGCAAATCTACATCTGTATTATAGCTTTAGCAACGGCTTGACCGAGAAATGACCATGCTTGCACTGAATACTTACATAAAATAGAATATCATTTGTACATATAATGCTGGTGTGTTTTCTATGGTTAGTAACAAGATCCGGAGACCTTTTGTACTAGTAACGAGGCATTCCATATTTCACCCCGCGGATGACAACGCATATGCATTTTCATTATTTTTCGGAAATAGACATAGGTTTCTATGGGCCCCAGTATTCAGTTATCATCAGATAAACTGTGTGCTCGTTTGTCAACCTTGCATGTTTTATATTATGTTCTTTAACGAAACGATTAAATCTATTATCATTTATATATAATATATTATGATAACTGATATCATGTTATATCTTGTATTATTCAGCTAATATATTTTGTTTAAATATTACTTTTTTGTTGCAGCAATGAGTTGTTAAATATATTGATGAACAATAATTTATGAAAGTTGATCGTACTTATTCATAGAGCAACACGGGCCAGCCACCGGCGCACCCGAGGGAGTAGCCATAGCGTTTTTTCCCGAAACAGAACTGTCTGTCATTTACTGCGGGGGGGGGGGGGGGGGATCTGCGCACACAAAAACAATCGTCTGCAGGCGTGTCACTTTGTAAAAATCTGAGGTATGGAAAATGGTGGCGCGATTTTCAAATTTGTTCGCATTACTCGTGGGGTATTAAGGTTTAAGAGTTTGCAGTGTATATACTCAACTTATTTATTGAACTATAAGATGTGGGGTATTGAGGTTTAAGGGCTTGCGATTTATTTATATGGGGTTTGTAGTAATATGCGATTTATTTCCTAATTTCAGCTATGGAATTCCATACCTTGAAAAACTTGAGGTATGGAGTGCTCCATACCTTCCATAGTGGAAGTGACACCCCTGATCGTCTGCCACTACGAAACACACACACACACAGATACATTATAACAGTATCGCTCGGTGATAGCAATAAGTTTAGATACAGACTCGGATCAGTCAATGGGGTAAAGACCCGCCGACCGCCTGGTTGTCCGATGGTGGAATGAGGAGGGAGATTTCTTTTATATCAGATGTCGGTGCTTAGAAGTATATGACCGGACTATTGCCAATTGAGCTTTGTTAGAATATATTCCAATGAATTTATTTATAGATTTAAAAATAATATTTTTCAACCTAAGTTTATTCCAGGTATACTTTGTATTTAAAATAGTTTATGAACATATACTTTTTTAATTTTTTAATATATCATAGAGGTATAATAACGAAATGTTTGAGGCGAGGAGCCCTAAAAACTCTATGGGCTTGTGCCCTTTGCTCTTTGGATTTCCTATCTCCATCTATGGATACATCAATCAAATCCTCGCTATAATGGTAGAGGCTCATGTCATGTCTTATACAGGCGAAAGAGATTCACGAACGCTGAAAAAATAAAACGAGGATTTTTTGTTTTGTAATACTCCGTGGCTGTGACCCAAAAATAAAGTTAGAGTAGGTTTGCGAAACTTTCCTGGCTATATAAAAAAAAATCTGTGTAACAAAAGAACAAACTGGCAACGAAAATAGTACACGATAATTTATTACTTCGCTTGGTTTTTTTTTCTCGGAAAACGCTTAAAGTCGCCTGTAAGCATTTATGTGTTTATCGCATAAATTAAAATAAAGTATTTCCGTGATGTTTATGCACGAAAATGATTAAAATATACGGTTAAAGATATAACGCCTGGTCAAAAAGGCCAATTGCGAAACCGGTAAAGCTTCCCTCTAAGTTTTATTATTGTATTGCATTCAGAAAATAAAAAAAATTATAAAATAGAATATCTGTTTTTAATTTCAAACGACACGGAAATCTAATATCAGTAGTAATTTGGATAACAACTGATTTTTCAACTTGGTTTCCTTATTCTGGTAGAGCGATGCTGCAGATATTTATTTCATAATGATGGGTCACTTCGGCCGAGGCAGAATAATGCTGAGTTTCATATGGTGAGTGTAGAAAACCCTTTATACTGGTAAAGAGAATGACGAATAACGCATCTGCATTTTAATTCTTAATCGAGGATAGATGTAAGTATTTATTGGCCGCAGCATCCACTTACCATCAGGTATAGCTGGTTTTAAAAAAATAATCACATAATAATATGTTCGGATAATTAGGGTAAAGGTAGAGAATTACAGGCTCTTTTGTCTTTCTTAGTCCATATAGTGACAATACTACTGGTATCGCCTTTCTATCAATGGGTGTGTGGGTGTCCAGTGGCGTCTTACCATCAGGTAGACTGTAAACTTATCAGTCATTTTGTTATTAAAAAAAAACTTACATTCAATTAAGTTCTACAGGCCACTTTCTGTTGACGCAGACGAGTTCTAAAGTGAAAAATGCATTTAGTCAAATCACAGAATAAATAATGTCAAACGAAGTGTGCGTTACTCCATGGTGATAACGAATTACACAAGTCAGCCGCCAGCAACTGGTAAAAAACCGAGAATGAGCCACTACGCGAGAATTAACATCTCCAGCTCTGGACTACCACTGACACAGGCTTATTGCGTTCAAAAATAGTTTAAAATTAATTTTAATAATAATAAAAGCCGACTAAAAGAACTACAAAGTATAAAACAATTTCACATTCTGAAGCCGATGTGTTTAAGAAAAAAAAATATAATAATAAAAAAATATATAATATTAAATTAATAATAATAAGACAAACTAAGACCACATGAGTAAAGAAACCGAACCATACAGTTTCTTTACTCATGTGCTACTAAGACCCCGTCTGTAATTAAAAGATTGATTTTTGAACTCTTTTGAGTGGACTAAGGAATACAAGGTAACTAGAATGCCGTCTAAATAGTTACATTGAAAACTTAGTGGTCTATATTTTGTTTTATAGCATAGGGTGACAAACGAGCACACAGTCCACCTGAATGGTAAATGGATATTGTGGCCCATACACATCTACATTTATCCTCATTTAAGAATCAAAATGCAGATGCGTTGTCACAACTGAGGACTAAGATGGAATGCCTCGCTTCCAGTAAAAAGGGTCTCCGGTTCTCTACACTCACCATACGAAACACAGTAGCATTAAGCTGCTATTTTACGCTGATATTCTGTGAGAGCGTGGTCCTACCCCGATCGAGCCGATCTATTCGTGCTACAACCATAACACAACAGCAGCGTGGGTACCACGTTCAAAAAATATATATATATATATAATCCACAATATATATTATAATATATAGTATATATTCCACCCTTTTGGATTTTTCCCCAAATTCATACTCCAAAGTATGGCTCCTCAATTATAACCTACAAAATAAAAAAATATCCAAATCGATTCAAAATTAAAGAAGATCGCGTAAACATACATACAAAATAAGAAAAATAACACATTCGAATTGATCCTTTTTGAAGTCTGCTAAAAATTGCAGCTCTATCACAAACAATAATTTACCATAATAACTTTGTTTGCTTTAGACCCTTTTAACCTTTTATACATACCAAAGGCTTTTTCACCAGGGCTTCAAGCACTAACGTTGTTTATATTATTACTACTATATTCCAGCGTGAAGTAAAGGTTTACCTCTGCCTTTCGCTTGGTGAGTGCAGGTGGCCGGAGGCCCTTTTTACTGGAAATGAGGCATTCTATCTTAGTCCTCACGGGTGACAACGCATCTACATTTTGATTTGTAACAGAGGATGGATGTAGATGTCTATGGGCCGCAGCAACCACTTACCATCAGGTGGACTGTGTGCTCGTTAGTCACCCTTATCCAATAAAAAAAAAAATATTAGAGAGGCTAAACTTTTTAGACAGGTTTGTGATCAAAGCATTTAGTATTTATAAAAAAAAGTTATTGACCCTCGCTGTGTTTCGTATGGTGAGTGTAGAGAACCAGAGACCCTTTTTGCTGGAAAAGAGGCATTCTATCTTAGTCCTCATGGCTGACAACGCATCTGCATTTTAATACGCAAACGAAGATAGATGTTGATGTTTATGGGCCACAGCAACCACTTA